CAATCTCTTCTCCATCTAATATGGTGCTGCAAATTGGCCCTGTGGAGAGAATCTTTGTCTTCTTGATATTGAGCTTCAGTCCATATTGAAGACTACAGTCCTGGACCTTTTGCAGCAAGAGCTTCAGGTCTTCTTCAGTGCCAGCAAGCAAGGTTGTGTCATCTACATATCATAGGTAGCAGGTAAAGAGTAGAGACAAGTCACACATGCTTGGGGTGGGAGGGCAGTGAATGTATTGGTTATTTCTGTAAGGGAAGTGTCTTTCACCTGTTAGGTAAAAATACATGTCTGTTAGATATTCTTCGAACAGTGGACATCCAAATTAAGACAGAGTAGGAAGAAGAATTTGCCATCCACTTCTGAAATATAACTGGGCTTTGAAAACCCTATGTATAGCAGAGCACACTTAAAGTAGACTAACAGATATGGCAACTGAAGTTGGGGCTTGACAGTAGACTTTCCTAATGCAACTTGTGTTTTGATTTCCTGGCTGCTGATGCCAAAAGTATTGATTGTGGACCCAGGCAAGCTGAAATTGCTAACAAGTTCTATTTCTTCTCCATCCATCATGGTGCTGCCAATTGGCCCAGTGGTGAGAATCTTTGTCTTCTTGATGTTGAACTTCCATCCATATTGAAAATTACAGTCCTTGGTCTTCTGCAGAAGGCATTTCAGGTCCTCCACAGTCTCAGTGAGCAAGGTTGTGTCATCTGCATAATGCAAGTCTTCCTTTAATTCTGATATCACATTCCTCCTCATAAAGACCAGCCTCCTGAATGATCTGTTCTGCACATAGATTGAAAAGGTATGGAGACAGGATGCATCCCTGACCCACTCCTTTCCTGATTTTGAACCATGCAGTGATTCCTGCTCTGTTCTGATGACTTCTTCTTGGTTCAAGTATCGGTTTCGCATCAGCACAATCAAGTGTTCGGGATTCCCATTCTCCTCAAAGTTAGCCACAATTTGTTGTGATCCACATAGTCAAATGCCTTTGCATAGTCCATGAAACACGGATAGACATGTCTCTGGTACTCTTTGCTTTCTGCCAAGATTCATCTGACTTTGGCTATTAATTTCTCTAGTTCCATGACCTCTTCTAAATCCAACTTGTATTACTGGTAGTTCTCTGTTGATATACTGTTGCAGTTTTTTTCTGGGTAATCTTCAGCAGAATTTTGCTTGTGTGTGATGTTAGTGACATTGCTTGATAATTTCCACATTTTGTTGGATCATCTTTCTTTGGAATGGAAATAAATATGGATCTTTCCCAGTCAATTGGCCAGGTGGTTTGTCCTACATTTCTTGGCACAACCTGGTGAGGGCAGTGTCTATTTGTTGAAATGTGTCATTTGGTATCCCATCAATTCCGGGGAGCTACTTCTTTGCCAATTCCTTCAGAGCAGTTTAAACTTTCTACTCCATCACCATTGCCTCTTGGTCATATGTTGTTTCAGAAATTCTGTCAGCCAATTTTGTCTAGAACAGTGACTCTATTTACTCCTTCCATCTTCTTTTGATGCGTCCTGAATTATTCAATATTAAACAATATTTAATTTACATTCACTGTCATAATATAATATTTACCTAACATTATTTACCTATTCCTTGGTAATGTAATGGAAATAAATTTTTAAAAACTTGAAAAAAATGAAATAGCATTTACAATGTAAAATAACTATTTTATCAGTTGTACTCAGCATTTTTAATGAACTAGAACAGACCAGAATAGAATAGACAATCTTAGACTGCAATCCGTGCAGTGAGGCTAAGTCCAATTAAGTGAGTCTGTGTAGAGTGAAAAATAACTATTCTTGTTGTGTACTGTTGAGTCAGAAGCAACCCATAGCTTACCCTCCAGGGTGTTTCCACAGACAGTAAATCGCACTTGAGGAGATTGTCCATCCTTCTCCTGCAGATGGATTTGAACTATGTGCCTTTGGGATTGCAGCAGTTTCTTTCCAGTAGGCTACCAATTGTTGTTATTGAGTACCATAGAGCCAGAGCCCACCCATAGTGGACCCTCTGGTGGGTTTTCAGAGGCAGTTAATCACACAGGAGGAAATTGTCCATCTTTCTACCACAGAACAGCTGGTGGCCTAGAATCGTAAACTATTAGGTGCCATCAAGTCAACTATAACTCCTGAGATCAGAAACCGATCCTATCCTGCACCATTTTCATGATCTCTGCCATGGGCATTGACGTCATTGTGTCACCTTTTTGAGGGTCTTATTACTTATGGTGACCCTCTATCTTTACACTATCTATGGATATTTGAGGGAGGTTTGGTGGTTAGTGTTAAGAAGTTGTGCTGCTAACCCAAAGGCACGCGATTCAAATACACCAGCTGCTTCAAGGGAGAAAGATAGGCAGTCTCCTCTCCTGTGATTACTGTCCTCTGAAAGCCTGCTGGAGGGTCAGTTACCAGTCACTTCTGACGACAGTGAACAACAACAACAACAACGGTTCTTTCAGATGAGTGGTGGAATTTACAAATGAGGAAATGAAGGTTGAGAGTGGTAGAGTAGCCTTGATTTCAGGTTCTCACAATGTTTGGGGGCAGGAGGGGGTTGACTTGAGGAGGAAAAGGTGCTGTTCTCTCTGGAGGCCCTTGTGACTTGCTGAGTCACTGTCCTGTCCCACCTGTTGCTGCCAATCTCTGGGAAGGGGAGCAGAGGCAGGAGGGAGCTCTGAGGCACAGGGGTGGAGGGCTGGTCCATGGCTGAGGCCTTGCTCCATAAGCTTGAGGGAGACACCAAGGCTGCACCGTGCTCTAGTGTCCTGGAGTTGGAGGAGCTCTTGAGGGAGGGGAAGGTCTCTTGCAGCCGAGTGGATGAAGTCTGGCCCAACCTTTTCATAGGAGATGCGTGAGTGAAAGCTGGTGAAGGGAGGCAGAGGAGACAGTATCCTTAGCTCTTTAGCAGGGTTGTGGTGGGGTGGGAACTGGGAGAAATAGTTCTGCTCGGAGCATCTGAGGAACTTTCCAGGACCACCCTTGAGCTATATTGATGGTGCAGTGACCAAGCTTGGCCACCAGAGGGTGGAATCAGGCAAGGACTTTGAAAGAAGCCGGCTTCCCAGAGGCCCCTGAAGTCTTTGAGCCTATCTGGGACAACTGACCAGGGAGCAGCAGGACTAGAGGGCTGGGGAATGGTGACTCAGGGTATAAAGTAGGTTGGACAGAAGTCCCACCCTCATAGTCTATCGTCTCTTCTCTGGCCCGTGAGTGGAGCCTGAATGAAAATAAATCAGGGAAGTTGTCGCCTCTTAGCATTCACAGATTAGAGATGGCCCTAGGAGAGGCCGGATGTTTGTGGGAGGAGACAGAAGGGAGGGGCGGCTGGTCCCAGGGCTGAAGCAATCCTTTCCTTCCTACATGAGCAGTCACCTTCAAAAACAAGGGGGTGCTGAAGAGAACTCCCTGCACTATCTGCTTTCCCACCCGAGGGGATTGGAGTGTGACTGAGCTTGCTGCGTTCTGTCCCTCTGAAGCAGGGGTCCAGGCAATGCCTCCTTCCTGGACCCGGGGCCCAGCCAGCACCCACTCCCTTCTCCCCTCCCAGGACCACTGCCAATAACCGCTTCGAGCTGTGGAAACTGGGCATCACCCACGTGCTGAATGCTGCTCACGGAGGCCTCTATTGCCAGGGTGGCCCTGACTTCTACGGCAGCTCTGTGAGCTATCTGGGGGTGCCCGCCCACGACCTCCCGGACTTTGACATCAGCATCTACTTCTCATCAGCCGCTGACTTTATCCACCGTGCCCTCAGCACACCAGGGGGTAGGATTTGGGGTCTTCCTCCCAGAGTCCACCCTGCTCAGTCAGGGGGATGCCCAGTTCCCCCTTGGACATCATTGTCCTCCCATTCTGGCTTTGAAACAGGCCAGGTGGTGTTTTTTAAAAGCCTTGCTCAGAATACAAGGTCATGTTAACATAAGGCTTTCTGTAAATTAGGAACAGTAAGGGGCTCGCGCTGGAAGATGGGTCTCCTAAACAGCAAAAGAACCTTTATGCATCACTTGGCTTTGGGAAACCCATGTGAAACATGGATGTCTCGCTTCTGCCCCTCAAGTACTTCCAGAGGGAAAAAATAAGGGCAATCAAAGACCCCCAAGGGACACTAGATTTCATTCTTGTGCCCCTTCCTGCGAGACCCTGGACAACCCTGCCACTCTTAACTTCAGTTTCCTCAGTGATGTGATCCATTCATTCACCAGCTGCTTCCTGGGGTCTGCCCCGTGCAGCCTCCGAGCTAGGATGGGCAATCCCTACATAAAGAAGGCAGGGAGGGCCCTTGCTTCATGGACCTGCTACATGCCTGTTAGAAGTGTGTAAACATGAACTGCTGTGAGTGTGTGTGTAGGCAGAGGCAAAGATGGGGACACTCAGTCCACAGTGGGACTTTCCCCTACGACTTAACTCACTGAGCCACATGCAAAAATGATGAGCTGTTCTGTGGCTCAGCCAACAACGTGAGGTGGTCAGGGAAGTTCACGTGAGGAAGCAACCTTTCAACTGAGGGCTGACCAACGTCTAAAACTTAGAGCAAGAGCAGGACAAAAGTTTCTCAGGAAGCTGGAATAGCACATGCTAAGGCTTGAGGCCAGAGGCCAGGACAGCTTTAAGGAACTGTTAGCTACCCCGTGTTCCTTGCGCTGGGAGTTGGTGTGGCATTGCCTGAGATACAGGTCAGCAGGAGCAGCTGGTCTACCCATGTGACAGCTCAGGAAACTGAGGCCCAGAAAGCCTAAATGACGTTTCCGGGGTTACAGAGTATGCCCAAGGCAGCCAAGGGAAAGAGCGTGGTGGGTCCCCACCCCCGGCCCTGGGAGGGCCCCCTGGCCGGGAAGGGGCGTTCACGGAGGTGTCTTTCTCAGCCAAGGTCCTGGTGCACTGCGTGGTGGGCGTGAGCCGCTCCGCCACGCTGGTCCTGGCCTACCTCATGCTGCACCATCGGCTACCACTGCGCCAGGCCGTGATCACTGTGAGGCAGCACCGATGGGTCTTCCCCAACCGAGGCTTCCTCCGCCAGCTCTGCCGCCTGGACCAGCAGTTGCAGGGTGCAGGCCAGAGCTGAGGGGCCAGGTGAGGGCTGAGCAGGGGGCTTGTGGGAGAATGGGGGGTGGGGGTGGGCAAAGCTGGGTTTAATTAGAAGTGAGAAGTGAGATAAAGGACTGGGTAGGGGCCATGCGGTGGAACCAGTTCAGGGGCTGGCTGGCAGGGTGTGTGGCTGGAAATGAGGGCTCAGGGCGCCAGACCCGCTCCTCGCTGTACTGGGCTCCTTTCACTCATCCAAAGTCTCCAGCCTGACTTGGGCATTTCTTTCCCACAGCTCCTCGGAAGGAAGGGATGGAAAGCATATAGGGGTGGAGCATGTGGGGGCCTTCCTGCTTTAGCTGGAGCTGGCCTGCCCTAGCTCCTCAGAGAGGCTGAGTGTTCACCTGAATATCACTACCTGTCTCGCGCCCCCAGCTCCAGCCCTCGCGCCAAAACATGACCTCCACTCAGCCAGACCCAGCCGCAGTCTCAGGAAGAAACTTTGGTTGCTGAGAACTGGAACTGATTTGATGACAATGGGGTTATAGTTCCAGGCTTAGCCAATTCTCATCCTAGCCGTGCTCCCCTATTTACTCCCCTGAGAGGAAGGAGGCCAAGTTCCCGGATGTGCTCTCAGGTGCCCATCTCTCCTGCACCTGCGCAGTGCACATCCATGCACAGCCCCTTAGCACCCTGCCCCACCTGCAGTTACTCTCCTTTTAGTCTATGAGAACCGCATCTTGCTCTCTGTTCAGGGTGCTGGAGCTAACCACAGGGTCCTTCAGGTGTGCAAAAGAGCAACATTCTAAACCCCTCTCTCACGCTGATCCCTCGTGCTGGAGGCCTCAGTGTCCCCAACCGCCCTTTAGGAGAACGTGGGTTTCTCAGGCGTGTACGGCTTTTGTTCGTCATGTCAGCCCCCATTCCTCACACAACGGAGGCCGACCATTGTGATCTAAAGGGTTCCCCTTGGTGGGTCTTTGGAAGCAGAGCACCAGGCCTTGCCCTTACCTTGGATACTCCACTGTAAATGGTCACCAAGGTGCTGGTTCAATTCTTTCAACCTTAGTTTCTTTCCTATAAGTCAGCTGGGAGGAGAGAGAGATGTGTCTTCCTGGGGTGGAGGCTGTGGGGGCTCCTGAGGGAACTTCAGAGTGCCCCTTGCCCTCCTCCCCCACTGCCAGGCCCAGCCTTGAGGCCCAGTGGCTGAGGGTGAGGCTTCCAGATGGCTCTCTGCTTCACTCCCACCCCTTCCAGCTGCTGGTACTCGTCCAGATCTAGCCTTACTCTCCTCAGTCCTGTCCTTGGCTGTGTACCACCCACTGGCCCACAGTGACTGTTGATTGGGGGTTGGTTGTAGGCCAGACCCCTTTGGGTTGGCCCAGACCAAGATGGACCTAGGATTCTTTTGAAAACTGGAAGAACTTCTCTCTTCTTGCCCCAAGGGTCTTCAAGGGGTGAATCTCCACCCTCTACCCCTTCCTATATTGTCTGAATGCACCGTTAGCCCAATTACAACAGGCACATTAGCAATACCAAGTTCTTTCCACATGTTGCCTAAGGATAAACATCTTGGGAAAGGGGATTAAGGCAGGATATAGGAGCGAGGTTTAGAATTAGAAGATGGGTGTGATAGAAGAAAAGTGGGCTATAGCTGGAGGTAGGATTAGGCTTGAGGTCCAGCTGTGTGGGAGACAGTTACAGGGAGCTCTGGGCATGGGGCCAAAGGAGGACAGAAGTGGCGTGTTCCCAGTCTCCTCTCTGCCTCTGCCAAGTTTTCCAGTACCTGGCAGCATAGCAATCCCTGATCATGCCCAATTCCCTTGCTTCCTAGGGCTTGAGTCCTAAGACACCCTGGTGTCTGACTTCAGCATCTTTGCCCACGAGGCAGCTGACTTTAGGGAAGTCTGTGAGACAGGGCTTGTATCATTGCACAATTCCTGGGGCTACTATTTGCCAAGTGTTGGCTGTGACTGGAGGCCCTAAAAGTTGCATAGAGCACAGCCTGTGAGTTGTACAATGCAGCCTTGGGGCTGGGGACTTCGGAATAATGTTGTCTTGGGGAGAGGTCATCTCTCTCCATGAATTTGAGCCCCAAACCTGCCTCCTCATCATTCCCCAGCACCTACATGCACTTGATCCTGCACATGGGACTTAAGGCAGAAGCTAGGTTTTAGTGGCAACTCTTCCTGTCTGGGTCTTGGTTGTTTTCAGAGGCAAATGGAAGGAAATTGCACAACATTCCCCCACATAGCAGCCTGTGAATTTGAACCATGTACCTTTGGGTTGGCAGCACAACTCCTTACCACTAAACCACCATAGCGCCCTGGGCCTCAGTTAACCTGCCTGTAGTGACACGAAGTTCATCTCTCCCTAGAACTGGCCCTTACTCTCTGCCACGGGACTCTACCACTTTGCTACTCTGGCATTGGCCCTCCTGTTGTTGCTGGAGCCCCTGCAACAGGCAGATGCCTGGAAGATGGAGAGAACTTGGGGTGGAGCCTGCCCTACAGCCTGTTGCTGCCATCTGCCTGTCACCTGCACCCCTCTCAACCGCTACCTTCATGCCCCACAGGTGGGAGAGGCATCCTCCAAGCCAAGCCCTGAGGATCTGTGACCAGGGTTACAGAGATGGGAAGAGGGGATTATGAGGACAACCCCCCACCCCACCACAGCTGCCTACCTCACTCTCCCCAGGGCTCAGGGAGCCCCTAATGGGGCTGGGCGTTAGCTCACAGAAGTTCATCAGAGACTGAAATATAGGGATGGTTGTAGTTCTGTCTCTCCATGTGTCCATTCCTAGGGTCTGAAAGTGTGGAGCATCATGGGATGGGATGGGATGGGATGGGATGTGTGAGGAGGGTCTCCAGGGGTCAGAGATAACTTTAACAGAACCCAATCCAAAGTCTCTAACTGACCTCAAGTGTGGGAAGAACCTTGCCCACCATCTTTCTGGCCTCTAGGTGTACAGTGGACCCTGCCCACCCTCCCTTTTGGGGGATAAGAGTCGTTAATGGACACACAGCTTCTCCCTGCAGTCAGGCTTGGGCCTCCAGCCTCAGTGTCAGGATTTCAAGTTCGGCTGTGTACCTCACTTTTACTTTTGTCTGTTTGTCTACTTCTGCTTCTTTTGTTGACTGGGCCAACCCATAATCCTGAGTCCCCACCTAAGGGGACTCTGATGAGCCTTGAATCTGTACTCTGATGGTGATGCTACCAATTTGCTGTGGGATTCTGAGGGGCCTATCTCCGGCCCCATGTCCCCCCACATTGAAGACCGCCCTAGCTTCATCTTTCTGACCTTGCTATATCACTCTTCAAGGTCAAAAGAGCTTTCACAGTCTTTTCTTTTGTTCTTCTTTTCCTGGCCTCACTGTAAGCAAACGCATGCCCCACAGGCAGACCCCTGCTCTGCAGCTTGGACTCCCAGCAGGGAGAGGGCCTGCCTGGACTTGGCACTGACCTTGCCACCTGACCTGTGGGCGAGCTGGGAGTGGCAGGGGGTAGGAGGTGGTCAGAAGGGGGAGTAGCATATCATGCTTTATAATTAAACCCAAATCAAAAAATAGAAACAGCGTCAAGTGTGCAGAGACAGGCGGCTGGAAGCCAGCAGCACAAACTCTCCATCAGTGAAGACCACAGTCTGGACAAGATACACTTGCAGTGGGTGAGTGCCCGTGTCTGGGGCCAGCAAGCATGCTGGATAATGAGGGTCAGGCCCTCGTGCCGGGGTCTGGGATGGGGTGTGGGTGAGTAGGGCTGGGAGACCAATCAGGCCAGACATAAGGGTTGAGATAAATGAAGCAGAGGTGCCAAGAAATGGGTTTGGACCCTGGCTCCCACATGGTTTTGGCATGGCGTGTGTGACCTTGGGCATGTTGCTTAACCTCTCTGAACCTCTGTTTCAACACCTGTAAAACCGAATGATAATATCACCTATAGGGCCCCTGGGAAGCTCAGATAGTATGTCCGTAGGGAGCTGTGCTGTCAGCCCAAAGGCCATGCATTTCTGGAGATCTGAACCCACTAGCAGCTCTGTAGGAGAATGAGGCTTCTCTACCACAGAGTTGCTGTGAGTTGAAAATCAACTTCATGGTACCCAACCTCAACAATATCCCCTACTCCATAAGGACTTGGAGGATTTAATTAGAAAACATAAACACTAGCTCTGTGTCTGGCAAACAGTATGTTCTTCTTTTTATTTGCTTGGAGGCTTACAGATCATATTGATTTTTTTCCATACAATCATTCGTGGACATCTTGTTTTATGACATTAATTGCCACCGGTTCATGTGATTAATTTATTACAATGTCTAATCAATCTCTTATCAAATAGGACATTCTTAATAATTGGTGAGTATTATGGGGGTAGGTGTGTCAGAGTGAGACTGGCTTAGGACAGGGCAGGCTTCAGAGCTATTGTACAAAGGGTCACTATGAGTTTCAGGTGACTCAACAGCACATAACAACATCAACAACAATTATAATAATTAAAGAGCCCTGGAGGCTTACTGCTAACCAACAGGTCAGTGGTTCAAACCCACCAGCTGCTCTGTAGTCTCCTCCTGTAAAGATCTGCAGCCTTGGAAATCAATGGAAGGTTGCTCTCAGTTGGACTTGACTCAACAGCAGTGTGTTTGGGGGGGGGGTACAATAATAAGAATAATTTCTGGAGAGAGATTGAAATGTCAAGAGACTAGAAGAAATAGGAGACTGAGCCTTACTGTACCTTAGAGAAGTGACCTTCTTCCTAGGATTTAGCTGGGGCTTGTAGAAGTGACAGTAACAACAAAAATTACAATAATAGTTGTTGTTAGGTGTCACTGAGTTAAGTACAACACATAGTGACCCTATGAACAACAGATCTGAAACCTGTCATATCCTATGCCAACCTCACAATCTCTGACACACTCGACCCCATTGCTGCTGTCATTGTCAGTCCACCTGGCTGAGATTCTTCCTCTCTTTCACTGACCTTCCACCTTTCCAAGCATGATGCCCTTCTCCCAGGAATAGCCTCTCTTAGAAACATGTCTAAAGTATGGGAGATGAAGCTTTGCTATCCTTACCTCCAAGGAGCAATCTAACTTCACCTTCTCCAAGACGTATCTGTTTGTTCTTTGAAAGTCCATGGGATTTTAAGGATTCTTCTCAGACACCACAGTTCAAAGGCATCAATTTTTCTTCTGTCATTCTTATTCATTGTCCATCTCTCAGATGCATAGCAAGTGATTAAAAAGACCATGGTATGAATTAGGCACACATTAGTCCTCAAACTAACATCATTGCTCTTCAGTAATTTGGAGAGGTCCCTGATTGCAAACTTTCCCAGTGCACTATGTCTCCTTAGCTCCTGACTGCTGGTTCCAAGTGTACTGATTGTGGATCTAAGCAAGATGAAATTGCTGAGAGTTTCAATTTTTTCTCTACCTATTATGATGTTATCTATTGGTCCAGTGGTAAGAATTATTGTTTTTGTAACATTGAGACACAATCCATATTGAAGGCTAAAGTAATTGGTCTTCTGCAGGAAGTCCTCCTTACTTTCAGGAAGCAAAGTTTTATCATCTGCATACCAAAAGTTATTGATGAATCTTCCTAATCCTGATGCCACATTCTTCATAGCCTCCAGGTTTTTGAATAATTTGCTCAGCATACAGACTGAATAGGTATGGAAAAAGGATACAACCCTGACACACAACTTTCTTAATTTTAAACCATGGAGGATAGAAGAAGAATTGATGCCTTGGAGCTGTGGTGTTGGAGAAGAGTGTTGAATATACCATGGACTGCTAAGAAAATGAACAGGTTCAACCTAGAGAGGGTTAAACCAGGCTGCTCCTTGGAGGCAAGGATTCTGAAGCTTCATCTGACATACTTTGGACATGTTGCAAGGAGGGACCAATCCTTGGAGGATTGCTTGGGAGGGTAGAGGGACAGTGCAGGAGATAAAGACCCTCTATGAGGTAGATTGATTCAGTGACCGGGGTAATCGGGGTAGGCGTGTCTGAGATAGTGAGATTGGCACAGGACAGAGCAGGGTTTAGGGCTGTTGTACATAGGGTTGCTATGAGTTGCAGGCAACTCGACGGCACATAACAACAACAACAACAACAACAACAGTGTTCCTTTGCTTTGTTCACTTAACAGCTTCTTGGTCTAGATTTCACATGAGCACTATTAAGTGTCCTGAGATTCCCATTCTTCTCCATGTGAGCCATAACGTGTTATGACAGTTGCAGTAGGATGAAACATTTGTTGAGCATCATCTCCCATGAGGTGAACCTTGTGGTGGGTGCTTTCCCCTCCTCATCCTACCTCAATCAGAGTGAGGACACTGGCTCAGAGAAGACTGTGTAGGTCCCAGGACAGACCTGAGAACTCCACCTGTCTGCGCACCTGGAGGCACGGGTGGTGAAACTTGGTCTCACCTACTTTGGGTATGTTTTCAAAAGGGGCCAGTCCTTGGAAGGGACATCATGCTGGGAAAGACACAGGGTCAGAGGAAGAGAGGGAAACCCCCCCATGGTAGAGATGGCGAGGGGGTGAGGATAGGGCAAGATTCAGGTCTAGGAGATCAGTGTCAGTTGTAGTTGATTCAATGGTGCAGGAAAACAGCAGCAGCAACAGCTCACCTGCAGTGGAATATGACCTTCTTGTGAGAAGATGGGAGACAAGAAAATGGGGGGAGCAACATAGAGGGAAACAACAAAGATGACAACAAAGGGCTGAGCTTGTAAACTGCAGCGACACAAGAGCAGGACAGTCCTAGCCAGCTGTGGTGGGAGAAGTGGGGAGGAGGCAGGCAGGAGCCCAAGGCCAGAATGTGGAGAGGTGAGGGAAGAGAGGAGCCCAGCTCCACTGAATGCCGGTCCTGTTGTTCACCTCCTACTTGTGCCAAGGGAACATAGGAGGGACTGCCGTGCTGTCCAGGTGTGAGGGCGTCAGAAACCAGGAATGTCTGCTGTAGCCACCAACTCCCCCTCCCTAGCTGTGTCTGGAGCTTCTGGGATGGGCTGGTTACATTCAGCAGAGCAGGGGGTAGAGCAGACAGTGGACTGTGAGCACCAGGGTGAGTCCTGGGTGACACCCGGCAGGTGCCGCTACTGTGCACCTCTCAGTTGGTTCCAGCAGAGTAGAACTGCCCTGAAGGTACATTCCCTAGACTGTAATCTTGACGGGAGCACATTGCCAAGCCTTTTGGAACAACTGCTGGATTCAGATCATCACTCTGTTAACAGCTGGGCATTTACTGAGCTGTGGGGGAATCCTTTAGGGTCTGGCAAGGGGTGCCCTTAATTCCAACAAAAAGGCCCCATTCTCTAGTCCATCATGAGGTTCCTAGGAGACTGAAACTTGGGACATGGCCTGTTGTGCGTGTGCCGTTGAGTCAGAACTGACTCATAGCTGACACTCCAGAGGCTTTTCAGAGGCAGTAAATCCTTGGGCATTGACAGCCCAGCTTTCTCCTGCAGAGAAGCTGGTGGGTTCGAACTTTGTGTCTTTGGGTTGGCAGCGCAGCTCCTTACCACTAAGCAAACCCTGACCTCTCAACACACTTCTCTTCAATCCACAACCTGCAGAAGGTGCCTCCGGAGGTCAGCTTTGTCTCATTAGAGCCAGTAACCTGGCTGTTAGCTCACAGTGGGGCCGTGAGGCACCAAATGGCCACCAGAGGGCGGCCTTACCCCATGCCAGGCTCAACATGCCGAGCCACTTGCCCACCTTCCTGTTGTCTGAGTCCCAGCTGGCTGACCCTGGGCTATTGCAGCCCCAGCTGGTTGCTCCAGATCAGTCTATAAGTTAGACTCCCATCAAACCTGGGGTTTCCCCTTACCCCAACACATATACACCACTCTTCAACTATCTATTGTTTAACCAGCACTTTCATTCTGAGGTCACATATGAAGTAATAACCCTCAACGTCAGGTGAGGCCAGGTTGTGGAGCCTGACCATGGGAAGCTGTGGCCCAGAGAGAGCACAGTGTACCACTTATGTATTATTGTAGACTCTTCACCTGAGCCAGGCGCTGCTGCTTCCCTGTAAACTGCCCCAAGGGCCTCCCATCTTTAGGAGTTTACAGGGCCAAGCCTTCAAGCTCAAAGAGATGCAAGCAGAGACAGGGTCCTAGGCCTGCTCTCAGGCCCCACCCCCCTGCAGGTTCTGAGAGTGGACCTTAGAATTCTAAACGCTTCACAGCGTTTGTGTTCTGAGCGGAACCTGTCCCAGCTCTGTTCAGCTCTCTCCCAGACCTAGACCATGCCCTAGGTAGGCCACTTCGCCTGCCATGAGAGGTCACAGAGGGGGATGAGGGGCAAAGCTGGGTCTTCACTTCCGCCCTTCCCCCCAGGTGCCCGCTGGGTGAGCTTGGCCAAGCCCGTGGCCTCCTGGGTGCCTGTCTCTATTCCCATTTCTGGCACCCCTTACCAAAAAGAAAAGGCACTCATCCCAATTTGCACCTTCCCTAGCTACTACTGTTTGAGGGGACCAGGGACAGTGGGCCAATATGGGCACTCCTTCCCATCACGTCACCAGGGCCAGATCCTGGTGCCACTGACCCCCCAGCTCGGCAGGACCTCGAATTGCCTCAGCCAGCTGACTCCTGACACAACCCACCCCGCCGGGGGGAGGCCTGGCCTGCAGTCCTGGGGGTAAGGAGGAAATGCCCGGGCCTCCGGATGTGCCACCCAGCATTGCCAGGTTCCCCTGTGGAGAGGGATGGTCCCCAAATACTTGGGGGTGTGATTGAACCCCAACCTTGCCAGTTATTAGCTATATATATTATATATATGTACAATCTTAAGACAGCTCCCTTTCACCCTCAGTTTTCTCTTCTGTTGAATAGATTACTGTGCCTGCCTCACACGTGATGGAGACGTTAAATGGGCTAAAGTTTGTGAGACACCAGGGATAGAAAAGGCATTAAGTCCTTCTGTATGGCAATGCTAACTAAGTCTGAACCTTAAGCTAGGCCATGGTACCATGCTCCTCACCCAGCCGGCCAAGCACCTAGAACAGGAAGGGGAGGGAGGGCTCGAGGGCCCGAGGGCTGGCCTGGAAAATGGAGCAGGAGGAGGCTGAATCAAGCTGTCCAGGCTCAGAGTCCTTTAGGGCTACAACCTATCTGGGGCTCCATACAATGTCCCAAATGACCAGTGACTTAACAGAGAACTCCAAGGGCTCCCAGGCCTTAGTCTGTGACATCAATTACCCCAGCAAAGGGCCGAAGTCTGCCCAGCTCCGCAGACATAGTTCCCTTGCTCCCAGGCAGTTCTAGGCTCCAGCCTCAGCTGAGATGATTGATAGCCTCACCTGAAATAGCGGAGGGCCTGGCAGCAACACCAGAAACACCTGAGCATCACCCTTCAGTGGGCCTGCTCCCACCACCACCATGCCCACTCTCTCCTCCAGGATGGATGCAGTGCAGAAGCAGGACCTCCGGAGGCCCAAGATCCATGGCGGAGTCCGAGTGGCCCCCTACCAACCGCCTACTCTGGCCTCATTGCAGCGGCTGCTGTGGGTCCACCGGACCACCACGCTGACCCACATCAATGAGGTCTGGCCCAACCTCTTCCTGGGAGACGCGTAAGTTAGGTTCAAAGGAAGAGGAGAGCAAAGCCTATACTGGCACCCTCGAGCCTTTGGGGGGATGGAGGTGCCACGCCTCTTCATCTCCCTCCATGTCTTTCTAGATGCTTCTTTCCTTTATGATGGTCATTTTCAACTGTGACCTACAACGCTCATTTGGAAACCAAGTGCATAGGGCATAAGTGCACAATTTTTCCACCCACATCAAGAAATAAGACATTACTTGTCCCCGAGACACCCTTTCTCCCTATGGGAAATTCTATCCTGGCGGCTGAAATCCCCATGTTCTGGTTTTCCTCAGGAGGTTCCTGGGACACGTGGATTAAGAGGTCTCTAAAGCATAGATCTCTTTCATTGCCACTGAGTTGGAGCTGACTCACAGCTGATCCCCCAGGAAGTCTTCAGAGGCTGCAAATCACATGGGGAGATCACCCATCTTCCTCTCACACAGCAGCTGGTGAACTAGAACCACCAGAGGGGACCTGCTGTGGGTTAGCGTAGTTACCCCTCCACAGTGTGTGTGACCAACAGCAGGCACGCACAGAAAACAGAGTTGAGTCTTTTTCTCCAAGAGCTTTCTTAACATTTAGAAAACATGGATCAATAGGTATAGACTTTTAAAGCTTCCTTAATCTTGATAAAATAGAGATCAATTTATTGCTAGCAATAAATTACCCCATACATAGATAACCTTCTGAGATAAAATCCTTGAACTTTAAAAATACATTATACACAGATGTGCCTTATTTTTTAAAATGGTACCACTTTATAACAGCTTTTGGAATCCACATTACATAGACAACATTTTCATTGGAATCACACTGTATATTTTGTCCCATGACAGCAGAACCTAATAATAATCGCCCTTACCACCTTTACATCTTGGTAGTTACATAGTATTTCATCATTTAGAGACATAATCAGCTATTTCATGATACTTAATGGTCTGTCTTGGGTTCCCTCCTTTCTATTTTCATGCTCTTAGATGTTGTTAGATTCTGTGTATGTATGCCCTTAGCATGTTTTAGATTCTTTGCTTTTTAGTTAAGTCCCCATAAGGATAATTTTGGGGCAGTACACACATATAACGTAAGGCTTTTGGTGTTCATGGTGCACCGGCTCCAGGAAAGTTGCCCTGTATTAAAGGGCATCTTAAGCTCTAAGCCTCTTTTCCAGGTTGGTTCACTAGATCTAGCCTCTGTCCTTGGAGGGGATGGCAGAGGGCGGAGAGGAGGTAAGTTCCAACTCAGCCTAAGCTAGAACTAATCCTGTGATTTTTCTCTAAACCTGTCCTGGTGGTGCAGTCTAATAAGAGTCAGGCTGCCAACCAAAAGGTCAGTGGTTTGAATCCACCAAGCCATACTTGGGAGAAAAATGAGGCAATTTGTTCCCATAAAGATTTACAGCCTCAGAAACCCTGTGGGGTAGTTCTCACCTTACAAGGTCACTGTGTGTGAGAATGAACTCGATGGCCATGGGTCATCCCTCCTGGCCTCTCCCCTCTAGGTATGCGGCCCGGGACAAGAGCAAGCTGACCCAGCTGGGAGTCACCCACGTCGTGAATGCTGCTGCGGGCAAGTTTCAAGTGGACACAGGTGCCAAGTTTTACCGTGGGATGTCCTTGGAATACTATGGCATCGAGGCGGATGATAACCCCTTCTTCAACCTCAGTGTCTACTTTTTGCCTGTCGCTCATTATATCCGAACAGCGCTCAGTACTCCTCAAGGTAAGCTCTGGCGAGGGCTACTCACCTCTCCAGTGGCACTCATGGTTGGGGTGGCTGGAGCCAGAGTCCCTCAGCAGCTCTCCCACTCCAGGGAGAAATAGCTACTGACCTAGCTATGGAAGCATCCCCTTCAGTGACCAATGAGCACGAACATAAGCAAGGTCTAATGTGGCCACCAGCAATTCCTCAGCAAGAGGCCAGGCAGGTGGGCTTTAGGCAGGGGTCCAGCCAAAGGTTCTGGAAGTATACTCTTCTCTCAGCGGCCTTGGGGCAGGAGAGAGATGTGGGGGGGAGTAGTGGGGCAGCCCCTGCAATTTGATATAAACCTAGGGAATCCTGGGAGAATAGCTCAGAGTTGCAAAGGAACAAAAGAGAACCCAAGCTCCTAACCTTAGACGTGCCATGGACTTCTTGTGTGACCTTGAGCTGGTCCTTCATCTCTGGGCTCAGCTGCTGTGACAGGTGCTGGAGGATGGCCGGAGGTGTGAGTGGTTCCCGAAGCGGGTGGGTGATGGATGGTGGCTGATGTCAGCTTTGTGTCCCCGCAGGCCGAGTGCTGGTTCACTGCGCCATGGGGGTGAGCCGCTCTGCCACGCTGGTCCTGGCCTTCCTCATGATCTATGAGAACATGACACTGGTGGAGGCCATCAAGACGGTGCAGGCCCACCGTGACATCTGCCCCAACTCGGGCTTCCTCCGGCAGCTTCAGGTGCTGGACAACCGACTGGGGAGGGAAACAGGACGACTCTGACCAATCGGGCAGCCAGGAGCCCCAATCCACTGGCCAACAAGGCCTGAGCCAACCAACCTGGCCCTGGAACAGCAGCCTCCATTGCTCCCAGTGATCTGGAGATGTTACTAGCGTGTGGGGGCTTCGTAGAGGGAAGCAGGGATAGGTGGGTGCTGACCATTAGCTGGGGGATTTTCCGGACCCAATCCAGAGATTCTTTATGCAAAAGAGATTTCAGTCTGTCTTTATAATAAAGGATTCATCCTAACAAAGTCAAGCCTGCTGTGGTGTTTCAGGGGGACGATGGTTTATTCCCTGATGACTTGCCAACATAGATTGACATGATGGCAGCCTGAAGGAGGAGCCTGGGTCCCTGTCAGGGCTCAACACGGAGGGAGGGCAGGTGGGGACCAACTTGGGGGACCTGCCTTGAGCGAGAGAGAGGGGAGAGGTGAAACATGTTGAGAATTAAGTGACCTTAATTCCTCTTCAGACCTTTATCCAGACTGAGGCTGTCTAGATGAGTATCAGAGGTCGACGGTCCACTATCTTCTCCCTCAAAACTCTGTGCACAACTAGCACCTTTTGGATCAAGTGGGTCTTTTCATTTACACTCTGCATCCAAAAGAACGGATTAGAATGACTGCCACTTAAACATAGGAGCGCTGACTAAGGGGATAGGGGTTGGGAGGCAGCACTTATACCAGGAAGCTTTAATGAAGGAGCGAGAACTTCTGGAAGAACATGACTGAGCTCTGAGTTTTGTTTTTAGATATTAACAAAATAAAACTTTGTAGAAAGCCCCCAAATCACTCATTTGCGAATTGCACACAGTCCAGTGAAATTGGGATAAATTGTTTAGCTCTTTGTCTCCTGTCTTCCAGGGTGTTCCTAGTTAACCCTTGTCCTTGAGTTCTTTACTAATTACAGCCTATAGAGCAGACTAGGGCTCCTCATGGGGTTTGAGTCTGTAGATCTTTACTGGAGCAGACTGCCTACTCCTTTCTCCTCAGAGTGGCTAGTGGGTTCAAACCACCAACCTTTCAGTTAGCAACTCAGCGCTTGGACTGTGGTACCACCAGGGCTCTGCTGTCTTCTCTGGTTGAGGCTCACACGTGGAGGTCTTCGCCTCCTCTGCTCTGTGTCTCTGCTCTCCTGGCATCCTGTTGCTCCCACCATCTCAGGTCCTTCGATAAGCTGGTGAGTTCCAGGCCAGTAGGGAGGATCCAATCTCTACCATCAGCTCAGAATCTCTGGACCCCACAAGGCACCTCTATTTGAATACTGTATGAGAACGTCACTCTTAATGACACTTTCTCAGTCCCCACCCAGATCTGTTCCTTTTCTTAGTTCCATTATTTGAATGAAGGGTTTCCATAGCCATTGCTCTTAAGGTCAGTTCTAAGTGCCATGTTGGCCTCTTGGTTTTCATTTGCTACTTCTCAACATGGACTCTAGTCTACTCATACCACTTTTTTAAATTTTTATTTTATTATTTTCTCTGTGTATACCATCAAATTATATCTGACTGGTACAGGAGGTGATGGCCCCGCCTTCTCTGGTAGAACATCTGGTGGATTCGAACCGCATATCTCTGGGATTGCAGTGCAGCTTCTTGCCACTAGGCCACCAGAGCTCCCCTCTTGCCTGCATCTTGCAGCAGCTTGCCAAGGGTTGTCTCTGTCTGCAGTTTTCCAAAAAGCTCTCAAACTGCCTGCCATCCAGTCAGTTCCAACTCCTAACTGACCCGCCATCAAGTTTCTGAAGTAGTAAATAGCAACAGGAGGAGATTTCTCATCTTTCTCGCAGGTGGATTTGAACTGTTGGAGAAGTTAACAGCGCAGCTCACTGTGGTCTGCAGAGCCCTGTCCAGTCTGACTGTTGTTAGGTTCTGACCTTTGCCCTGCCCTGCACCATCTTCAGTCTGACATGTCCACGCCCATTGTTACAGTCTCTGTGTCAATCTATTATGATGAGAGTCTTCCTCTCTTTCTCTGACCCTCCCCTTTTCCCAGCGTGATGTCTTTTTCCAAGGACTGTCCTCTCTTGACAACATGCCCAAAGTATGTGAGACCATCTAAGGTATGTACATTTTATCATCCTTGCTTTTAGGAGCACCTTTCTTTTTTTTTTTTTTGCGGCCCATGGGATATTACTGTAATTTCTAAGCAGGTAACATATTAAAATAAAAATCTGATTATGTCAGCATTCCACCGAAAAGACTGAGTACAAACTTCTAGACAAAGTTATAAAGTTGTGTCATTATCTGGGACAGACTCTGTTCTACCTCTGGTCATCTCCACTATAGTCCCATTCCCACACACACGCTCAGTTAGGAAATCTGCACCCACTCCTTCTCTCTGGTCTTTTGAACTTGCTGGTCCTTCAGGTCATGGTGCTTTGCTCCTACCCTCTAACCTTGTCACTCCCAAATCCAGCTTTTCTTTCCAGTCAAGTACTCATTGAGTTTTACATCAGCCACCCATACCACAATCTATGGAGCACACAAATGGATGCTCTTACACAGGAGGGAATGATTCAATAGCCCATTTTACAGATTAATCCAGAGAAATGAGTGAGGGCTGAACTATCACATCTTATCTCCAGGTTTGAGTGGAAGGTCAGGTACCACCCAGCCAGATCCTCTGTCACTTCCCTGTAGCACCTGGTCCTGATTCCAGAGGACTGCTTTGGGTGCTTGCTGGACCTTAACCAGAGAGAAAGTCCTAGTGGGAGGACAGTGGATGGATGGGCTGGTGCTTCTGTGCTCAGGACTTTGTTCCCAAAGCCCAGCACCTTCCCGGCAAAGATCACCATGAATAGAAAGTTGTTCATAATTTGTCCAGAGAAGACAAAACTTCTCCCGGTTCAGCAGTACAACTTGTCCACCCACAATTTCCCCGGAGTCACCCTTTGCCTGACAATGGCAGTCCAACCCTGATAGCTATTTCTTGCTGTCAGCAGGGCCCAAAATAATGGCTCCAGAAGTCAGACTCTAAACTATCAGCCTGGTCAATGAGTGTGGGTAGTCTGGCCCTGCCAGCAGAGGGATTGGATTCTAGTAGATCGCTTTTTTTTTGGGCTCTGTGGGCCAAACACTGAGGCTGGGGCTGCAGGAAACAGGAGCAGGGTCCCTGATGAGGCAAGTGCACTTGGAAAGCTAGCAGTCAGGGACCTCTACAAATGGTTGAGGACCAATAATGTCAGTTTGAGGACTAAGATGTGCCTGATTCAGGCCATGGTCTTTTTTCGTCACTTGCTATGCATCTGAGAGCTGGACAATAAGTTAGGATGACAGAAGAATTGATGCTTTTGGGCTCTGGTATTGGAGAAGAGTACTGACTATTTCATGACTGCCAAAAGAACAAACAGGTATGTCTTAGAAAAAGTGCAGTCAGAGTGTTCTTTGCAAGGAAGGGTGGGGAAGCTTCACCTCATGTACTGTGGGCATGCTGCTAGGAGAGACTATTCCCTGAAGAGGGACATCATGTTTGGAAAGGTGGAGGGTTGGGGAGTGAGAGGAAGACCCTCAAGGAAATAGATTGACACAGTGACTGCAGCAATGGGCTCAAGTGTGTCAGAGATTGTGAGAATGGCACAGGATAGGACAGGGTTCAGATCTGTGGTTGTTTATAGGGTCGCTGTGAGTCGTGCTTGACTTGATGGCACCTAACAACAACAACAAACACAACATGGCATCCTGGATTGAATTCTGGAACAGAAGAAGGATGTGAGTAGAAAAAAAAGGAAATCTGGCACCTAACAACAACAACAAACACAACATGGCATCCTGGATTGAATTCTGGAACAGAAGAAGGATGTGAGTAGAAAAAAAAGGAAATCTGAAGGAAGTCTGTGGGTTGTTTAACACAGTAATGTTTATGTCTTCACCCCACTCCCACTGTTCAGTGTGCTAAATGAGAATTTAACCTTAGGGGCAACTGATTGATGGGTTCACAAGTAACATCTTTATTATCTTTACAGCTCTTCTGTAAACCTAAAATTATTTCAAAATGATAGATTTTTAAATTTAGTTGATAATTACTGACTCCTTAGATGCCAGGTGCTGAGCTCAGTGTTTTAGGGCCTCCATTTATTTTTTCACCCCCAATTTTATCCATAAAGTTTTATTTCTTTAAAAACATGAGTCAAATAGAGTAAAATATTAAAATTTGAACATAGTGAACTGTGGAAATGTATGTGTCTGCTATTTCTTTCTTTTTTATGCATCCTGAAAATGTTATATTTCAAAGACCTATACATAAATAAATTGCTTAATTTTTAAATTAAAAATACCCTTCTCTCTATATATTTCAGTTTTGAAATCCATCAAGTCAAATGGCTTTCAGGAAGTAATTCTGAATTAAAATGCTACCATTATTACTGGCTTTAGGCCTAAAACACTATAAATTCACATGCCACACTTTTAAAACCTGCAAGACGCTTCATTATGGATAATTTTGCTTTGAGAAAAAAAGGTAATGATGAGCCATTTTAGTGTGTGTAGATGAAATAACAGTGATCAAAAAGAAGCTAAGCCAGTCAAACTACACATCATTTCTTTTAATCCTCAGAACCGCCCGGTGGGGTAGGTCTTATTATCACTATTTTACAGATGAGAACAAAAGCGCAGAGAGGTTAAGCCAGAAGAGAGGCGAGCATTAATTGAGAGCTTATTATGTACCTGTGCATTAGACTGGGTAGGCTAATGGCTGTTAAACACTCCGAAGCCTTAGAGGCTTGCACACAGCTGAGCTTTCCTTCTCACAACACAGGTTGATTAGGGGATTGGAGATATCTGAGAGCTAGCAGGATGTGGAATCCAAATGTGTAACTTTTTCTCAAGTCCCACTGGCCAGAAGGCAGTCTCATGGCTGCCCCTTACTGCATGCAGCCTTGGAATGCAGGCAAGCAGGTGCCCAGAAGAGAACATGGATCTTGGTGGTCATGAACGCGCTTTCCTGCTGTCAGGCAATAATGGTGAGAGACCTTTATGTGTATCAAGTAATTTAATCCCCTTA